AAACCATTTCAGGTGACTACCTCTTGAAGCTCATGGAGAGAATGCCAAGAGTGTGCAAAGCAGTAATCAGAGCAAAGGGTGGCTATTTTGAAGAAACTAGAATATAAAACATGTTTTCAGTTATTTCACCTTTTTTTGTTAAGTACATAACTCCACATGTGTTCATTCATAGTTTTGATGCCTTCAGTGAGAATCTACAATGTAAATAGTCATGAAAATAAAGAAAACGCATTGAATGAGAAGGTGTGTCCAAACTTTTGGCCTGTACTGTATGTACACAAATATATATATACATATATATGTGCGTGTGTGTGTATATATATGTAAGATGTAAAGTTGTAAAGATTTAATTTATTTTTGTTTTAGTTAAAGGGGTATCGTTTAAAATACATGAATTTGCAGATTATTATTTTTGATTGATTGATTAAGTTCATGTTCTTATTTTACAAATAAATCAGAAGTTACTCAACAGTTACTCAGTACTTGAGTAGTTTTTTCACCAAATACTCTTTTAATCAATTATTTGGATGACTACTTTTTACTTTTATTTGAGTAATACTGTTCTAAAGTATCAGTACTCTTACTTCAGTACAATATTTGGCTACTCTACCCACCTCTGCTCACAAGACAGTTTACAGTCTCAGAATTTATTTGCACATTTCAAAAATAACAAAACCAGCCTGAAGAATGATGTGAAAAACTAACTCTAACCAGAAAAGGCTGGAGGCGGTCACTGTAGCGGCAGGTGTGGTGATGGTAGCAGCAGCAGCTGCAGTTGTGGTGGCGACAGCAGAAGCTGCGTTGCTGGTCACAGCAAAGAAATTCAGCACAGTTAACTGCTGCCTGCCTTTAATCGCCGACTTGTGACTATCTGACAGCATGTGTGAATTCACCGCATTGACGCCCATTATGCAAAGCTTGAAGATCTTTTTGCACACGCTGTAAAATGCCTCTCCGGGTTTACCGTTGATGGGCTTTAACCAGGTTCTGAATAGTTCCTCATACAACCACTTCTGCTGAAACTTGCATTTTCCCATTTTTCCGACATTTGCTAATATTCCCTCCCCTCTTTCGCCACAGCATGAGCACCCTCACAGCACGCTGCACTCCAAGCATCCGGTGTTGTGACTTCGTGCACCGGCCATAAACAATAGCCAATTAAAGGGTTCTGCTGTCAATCATCACATTATACTTCCGATCAAAATTATTAAATGTTTATATAATCAAAATAAATCATGAATAACAATGTTTTTTTTTCCATCAAGTGTATTTAATTTTTTAATGCCTCTGGACACCGAATTTAATGCTTTTTAATGCCATTTAAGGCCTTAATTTTCGCAAAATCTATTTAATGACTTTTAATGCTTTTTAATGACCCACGGAAACCCTGTAATCGATTAGTTGAAGATTATGTGCGACTTTAGTCGACCAAGATTTTCTTTGGTTGACTACAGCCCTAATTCATCCATTGTTGAAACTGGTGCAATTTGAACATGTGACACATTCAATATCAATAAACTTACTATAATAAGCACGTGAGTCGTTTTCTGCAGTTCTCTTGCATGTGCTACACACAGCCTTTTTCCAGTTGTCTGGACACTCCCAATTCATTCTCAACATTAGTTTCACACCATCAATCGATCAAACAAGTCATCAAATAAAACAGAACACTGCTTTACTATTAGACAACTAGCAGCGATCTGTAGGCTAACGTTAGCAACCCGTGTTCCTGTCAGTCTGCACTAATGTCAGAAGAGCGGTAACAAGCGCAGCAACTTTGCTGCTGGACAAAAGCTTGGGTGTCATATGCAATCAAGGGGTGGGAATGCAACATGAAAGTATGTCAAAATGTGGGACTGTCATGCACAAATCAGCAATAATGTAACATTAGCTGTAGCTTGCTAGTTAGCTAATGAGACATCAGCATAGGCTAATACTACAAGCAGTTTTTTTTCTTATGCTCATTAAAAGGGAAAAAACATAATATATTACTGTTACTAATGAGGAAAATACATTTGTGGGTTTATCTGTGGCTTGTGCAGCCATCTTGGTGATGATTTCTCAGAACGCTGTTTGGACTGTGACTCTGAAAAACCTCCATTTGGGGGGCTATGCAGCCTGAGCACTTCGCCATACCCCTTTAGTCCAACACCCTGCACCTAGACTATACCATGCACAACAGAGGGGCAAAGGCAAGAAGTGTATTGGGATTGGACCTAAATATAAATTTGTCACGTAGATGTGGTTCCTGCTTTTTCTTCTTCTTTTTGTTTCAATAAATACTCAACATTGTAACTGATGTACATCTGCCTACCAGGGATCAAAGGAAATATGGTAATCCAGGCCGCTGCCCATTTAAAGCTCAGTCCAGCACACCTGCAGAGCAGCAACCCAACTAAATTCCTAGAACAGCCTAGCATTTAAGTCCAAGTTTGTACCTGTAAGACTCACATTTTGAGGCCTTCGTTCATCATCTGTGATGTAAAAATATCATATTCAAACACAGTTGATGAAATGAAAAAGTGTGCGTTCTGTTTAGTTACAAAATCCTGCTTGGGTGCGGACAGCTCCGTCAGCCAGAGTCAATCACAATGAAAAGCAGATGAAGTTCTACCTGCGCCTACCTCCACTTCAATCACTCTTCTCTGTTGCCATTACAGACTTTCCTTTTGTTTTTAGGTGCCCTGTGTACAACGACGCAGCTGGAAAAGTGCCAGAAGACTAGGGTGTTTCTATGGGTGTTTTAGTAAAGCTTCAGCTGCAGCGGCTGTTCTATAATAAGGATATACAAATAACTAAGTCTACGGGGGAGTGTTTGTTAACAGAAAAAAAAAAATTGGGTTGAGTTATCACTTACAGTAACTGTGAACTGAAGTATGTGACAAGACAGTACGGACTCTGCAAAGCAACTCTGAAAACAGGCATTCAGCAGGTTTGTAGTGGTGTCAGAAGAAAACATTCAGCTGCCATCTGAATTTTTACTGACAGCAAAGATGGAGTGTGATAAGCCAAAAAGTGTCGCCTCTTATCTCTCGGCTATCACCTTTGTGTGATCTTTATACTACACTTTAAAAAGTAGGTCAGTGTTCATGTGGTTTTATGCATGAGTTGGAGAATGACAGCAAAACATTCACCATAGAAAGAAGGTAACAGTGAGAAAGTCACCTCATTTTACTTCTCACACCTGAGAAGCCTTTTAGTGCGACAAAGTTCAGCTCAGCTCTTTAAATTATCAGTAGTGCGACAGCTTTATTTGCCTGCACGACTGGGAGAAAGTGATCAGCAGATTTTGGTCCCGGCAAGTATCTGCACAGGGGAGTGTTACTTTAGTGAGGTGTTCTAAAGTTTGAGATTTATTACCTTCATTGGCTTTGCCTTGCCCTTTATCCTGTCCTCGTCCTTGCGGCTCCTTTTCCTGGACGTGGAGCGGTCCTTTCGGTCCCTGCTGCGCTCCCTCCTCTTGTCTTTCTTACCTCTGAAAGAAGTCAAAACAAACACATCAACAAAAAGAAACCAATCACAGTTGTGCTGACACAAAATCACTGATATGTATTTTGCACACAGTTATAACTCCACCTAGAAAACACATGAACAACATAGAAGACTTAAGGAACATCTAGAACATCTCAAAACAGTTTGGGAGGATGAGAAGTGATGGATTTACCTTTTGGGTGAGGGTGATCTAGCTTTCCTCCGAGGGCTCCTGGACCGATCCTTACTCTTCCTCCTGTGGCCCCTGATAACGAAACATTAACTGGATTAAGTATATTTTGTGGAGACAATATGAGCTACTTATGGAAAAAGCAGCACTGTGACAGTACATGCATTAAATACACAAAACAAAAACAGACAGAAGATTGATTAAAAAAGTCCACAGTACATCAGTGCACCTTATTTCATTAAAAGGTTTATGTGACAATAAGAGTATTTCACCTGGTGCCAGATACAGAAACAACACAGGCCAAATTCAGGCAGCTACAAGACTCATTTAGTACCTGGTGCTCCCTACTGCTAAGGGCAGGGACAGCAGGGTGACAGTAAAGTCTATCATATTTAGTTTTCTTCATGATAGACTAGGATTGTAATATCTTAAATTACACAACAGCAGCAGGTGGTGCCAAACATCCAACTAGGCATTGGACGGCATTTGGACTTGATTGAAGGAAAAGAGAGATCATTTGGAGATCAATGCGGTATATATTGTTTTAGTGCTCAACAGTTGCCAGGCTGCCACTGACAACCATTTTGAGAAACAGGCAGGCAATTCTTGGCCTTTAGTTGCCATAAGTGGCAACCCCTTTTCGAATTAGGGCTCCCTTCAACGAAGAACTCCTAGTTGTCCAAAAGTTGTCATTTAGGGCCATTAGTCGACTAGTCACCCCCATCCCTTAATAAAGGACTATCTAAAGGTGTATGCCACACACTCAGCAAGCCACCTGTTAATGACGCTGTCAGCAAAGCAGTAATGATTGTGCTAAGTGGCTAATGGGCATGCAGCAACTTACATGTTTCAGATGATACGTCATGTTTGTCGACAAATGATAGGCAAATGTTTGCCTGCATTGTTTACATATCACCTTGGGTCCGTCCTTCACCTTCTCAAAATGATCCCACACTTGGGATTTCCTGCCTGACATGTTATTAACAAGCCTGTGTAATAACCGCAGGTACCAGCCCTGTAAATCAAGGGCCGTACACATGCCATGTTGGGTGCTACTCTTGTGCCTTTTTTGTGCCAGCTTTCAACAGTGCGGTGGCAGGTTGCCCTGAGGTGGCTAAGCAACCTTAACATGCACCATCTCATAGCCTATTCATCTAAAATCCTGAATGCAGAGCTCATCTTCTTCCAGGCGCTGTTTGAAAGTATGTAGGCCTATTGTCTGATGGACAGATGTAAAGCTCTGGGTAGCCCTGCACTAAAATGATCAACTTGTCCATATTTAGCAGACTGAATATTTATGGAAGATGGGAAAGATATCTGTCGGCTGTGACTGGTTTGTATTGTTACTCCTGTCTGACTGCTGAGCATGGCCTCTTCCTTTATCTGTCCTTTCAAATTAAATTCTCTCATGGTCCAGTCAAACTGGTTTTGATTTATTTTGACAAGGTACAGCTCCTAATAGAGTTCCACATTTGCTTGTTTTTTGTTTTTGTGCGACTAAATGACCAATGAAACCTTGCCGACCAATAATCTTTCTGGTCAACTAACGTGGTTGACCATTAGGGGGTAGCCATATTTAGAATACTTGTTGCAATACTGATATATAAATATTTCTGTTACAGTCAGACCCAGATAGGAGTTAAAGGTGGACACATTAACTGATAACACTTGAGATTCAAATTCTGTAATGTATCAGATGAAACACAAATTACAAGGAATTTTGTTCATTACTTTAATAGAGCTTTCAAAAACTCTTTTATGTCACATTTTCATTAACAAGCTGATATCTAACCACATGGTTTGTCTATTTCTCAAAATGGTAACCATATTTTCAGTTTCAGCCACCACAAGCTGATGCCTGGTTGCCAGCCTGTAACCGCTTTTTAAAGTGTGTTGAACCCTGTGTTTGTTTCATGGACCGCGGAACGCATCTGAACAAGGGGGGGGCCATAATTTCAAGTCACGCGGAGGGGGTGGGGGGGGATGCATTGAAACACACAATATTACTGATGTATTAAATAACGTTGCGGAGCACTTTTTTTATTCCAACACCACACAGTCACATCTACAGTATACAGGCATGAACACGAACACATGCTTGCTCAGATTAACCCCTCTGATCCCACTCTAACATTCACACACAACAGGCCAAGCCTATTTACACATAAACGCACAGATGAAACTATAGCAAACAACAAAGTACATCCAGTCCACAGCCACAACCAAAACTCATCTTGCTGCCTTGAATCTAAATCAGCATCATATTCATTATCATCACAAGTCAGCACTCATATCAAACTGATGTGCAGAGCCACACACACACACACACACAAACAACAAAACAGGCGCAGCTGCGCAGTTACTGAAAGGTAACCAGAACGCTGAATTTCTGACCATTACCACCCGCAACCGCAATGTGTATGTCCACTCCTGCCCGCTCCCGCAAAACTCTGAGAATTTATGCCGCACAATAATAGAGATGCATTGATTTTGTGTCTTCTCTCCCGCAGGAGAAAACACGTCATTTTATAGGCTATTAATAAAGAGATTCATGGGGTTGTTTGGCCTGCATGTCTTTTGACACACTGGTCAAGAATAGCGCTCCTATTTCGTTGTTTTCATTTAGTTTTTAATGAAATAAAGGCTGTTTCATATTCTATTCTCCTCCTCTGTATTTATTTATTTTTCTACCTTTATATAGCAGTGATTGAGGTTAAGGCAAGCCCGGCGCCAGGATGAAGTTACTGAGGGAGCGGTTAAAAATTACGAGGGTGCAAATCTTTATTATGCAACATAGGTTCACACAGTGAGTTATAAAGAGCGTGCAGAGGCCCGTAATGACAGCGCGTCGCCGGTGAAACACAATAAACTGCACGTCTTCTTTCATGTCTCATGTCTCATGACAGATGGAGCTTACAGACAGACAGACAGGTGGAGCAAGCGGCAAATTGGTATGAAAGCTGGTTCAGGGCATATTCGTCCATTTATGAATAAATATGGAGTGGAAACGCTCATGCATGTGCACCAAGTTCCTGTGTTGACATCCTGTCGCTAGGCTACATCTTCTTCTTCTTCTTTTTCTTCTCCTTCTACTGTTTAATGGGGACCCGCGGGACCCAGCGGGACCCAATCCCAATGCAGCCCTCCATGTCAGAGTACAAAAGTTACCCGGGCCATGGCCCCCCTGGCCCCCCCGGTTCCGCGGTCTATGGTTTGTTTCCCATTTACCTTGATCGACTTCGACTGTGTCTCCTGTCTCTGGAACGTGACCGCCTCCTGTGGCTACTTCGGGAATTGTGGGAGTCATTCCTTGGCCACAACTTTGGCACCAGTCTGCTCCAACAAGAGGACAAAAAAATTCACTGACTGGACACGATCAAAATCATATGATCAAAGCATCAAGTGAGTAAAATCTAAAAATCCGGGTATTCGTTGGGCACCTGTGTCTCGAACGCGACCTTTTCCTGTGCATTCTTGAGTGTGAACGGGAGCGGGACCGTGAGCGGGACCGTCTTGACCTTCTAGACCGACTGGAGGAACGCTTCTTTATGTCAACTGGAAGAAGAGCAGCAGTCTCAGCATCAGACCAACTTCAGCGATTTATTATTAAAAACCATGATCTGTGCAGCAAATCTAAATTTGGTACCTGGCTCAATGGCAGCAGCAATAGTAGACTGGGCCTCCCTCACCCTCTTCATCACACTTTCTAGCTCTTTAGCAGCAGCCTGTGGTGTCATCTCTGGGGGTTTTACTATGGCGTTATTGGAATGATTAACCCTGACAGACAAAAAACAATAACAAGTGACACAAACCACTAATGACCATTTTGTTCTCTGTCATGATTTATGTAATTTTAAGCACATATCTGTTTCTTTAAGAGTGATATTATCAGAGTAAATAAATTACACATTTCATTATTTTTAATGTCGGCAGCTGGGCTGCACTGCTCTAGGGAATGACCTTTTGTCAAAAATACATACTTCAGGGGTCTGTCTCCGAACATGACTCCATTAAAGGTCAGGGCTCTGGCGACGGACTCCTGCTCAACAAACTCTACGAAGGCGAAGCGTGTTGGCTGGGTCTCATCTCCGGCCATTCGCACAAACTTAACATCTCCCACCTGCTTGAAGAACTCCAACAGCTGGTCTGCAGTGGTAGTCTGTGCAAAAGAAAGTATGAAACTGAATGACAACAAGCTTTGACTCTCTGCCTGAACAAGATTTGGCTTCCCAATCTGTTACGACTGGTTCCAGCTGTAATTTCTCTTACCTATCTTGAGCTTGAATCAATCTGGTTGACGATTCAGACTTCTATTTTAGTGATCTCATATACTCTATTATCAGTGCTACATGGTTGCACAAGTAAAGAGTAAAATAGTTCACCTTCCGCCCTTCTCTGTGTCTCTTTCTCTAAAACCTATATATGCACACCTTGGAGAGCGCCGTGGACATCTCTGTCCACAGTCCTGACAACTGTACTACAATGGATAAAGTTGGCAGTTTGCGGGTCTGGTTTGGGTGATTGATTAACACGCATTTTTAGCATCCCATGTATCTCTTTTGTGTCACTTCATATCCACTACTGTCTACTTAATATGACAGCTCAGTCTAGTCTAGTGCTCCATCCTCTTTAGACTTTTATGGACTGTTCTTCTTATACTTCTATTTCTGTGTATGCACAGTGCACACATCCTGCAGTCTCGTGCCCTTTTATGGGTGTTTATCTATGCTAAATAGGATCAACTGTCACACACTTTCAACTTTGGAAGACAATGGGATTCATCAATATAAGAGAACAGGTGTGAATAATTCTGCCATTTAAGAACTCATCATGAATCTGACATACTTTTCTTAGGACCTTTCTTAACAACAAATCTGAGAAAAAACTTAGATATTGGTGATGAGGCCAAATGTTCTCAGGAACCTTGACACTTCTATTTGGAAGAATGTTAGTTTTACGCTTTCTAGTCTTTTGTTTTCAATTCAAGTTTTGTCTCATAAGAGGCAGTTATTTTTTACTTGTATGTAAGTTCCAAATAAAAGAGGAAAATAATAAAATGTGATGAATGGAATGGATGAATGATTATTTTAAACAATTTCTTAACTGAATTTACAGAACAATTACTGTATTGGGAAACACAGCGGTACAGTGATATAAAATTACCAGACCCAAAAAGAGTGCGCTGACTTTTTTTTTGTGTTGCAGTTTTCAGTGATAATCCAGAATCAAAATCTGTGGAATTTTGCTGTATGTTTTTGTTTTGTTTTGCTTGTAATGTGAAAGACAATTGCCTGAAAATTACATATACTCTGATATAAAATTTTGACCCCATCATCAGCCCCTACCGCCCTGCTGCTATAAAAACTCACGAGGGTTTACTCAGTGTGAACAAAGATTTGACATTACCTGTGAATTCAAGTTGCCAACATAGACGGTCCTCCTGATCTCATCAACTTTTGAAGGATCCACATTCCCCATGAGGGGGGGCTGGGAGTGAACTGAGGCTGTGGGGTCCAGAGCAGCTGACAGCCGATTTACTATGGGAAGGTTCAGCTGCAGGTGTCAAACACACACACACACACACACACACAGGTTTAATTGCATGACATCCGAACAGACAAGACGAGAGCCACAAGATGCCAACTCACATTCTGAAGCGGAGCCGGAGTGGGAATTGGCAGCAGTCCTCCACCAGGAATCAGACTGGGCACTGGGGCAGCAGGTGCCAAAAGTGACAAGGCCTTGGCCTCTTCTGGGATTTTCCCTGTAGGACAGAAGAAGATATTAGTGAAGGCAATAGTGGGATTCTTCTCTCTGTCTCCTCTATGTCTGCACAATTAGCCCACTGTATTCTAGAGAGAAAGAGAGCATACACTTCCCCATACACCCTACAAGAGTTCTACTGTCTACTTCTGGAGACCGAGCACCCTTACTTTGCTTTTGTTAAATTATCCTTGTCAGTCAATCTGAATTATTTTTTTCAATGAAAATATTAACTTTTTTTCAAAAACAAAGGAACACTGATTTTGTCCTTGGTCTCTTTTCATAGATCAAAAAGAAAAAAAAACACAATGCAGAGAATGAGTCAACACTTTGATGCATGGGTCACCTGTACTGGAAACATATTGGTCATGAACCATACGATATCAAGCATGGGCGCTTTTCCGTGGGGCGATCGTTTCGCAGTGTTGGAAAGGTGTGCAACACAAGACAACCCCAATGGCTGCATCACTAATAGCACACAGGACATCAAATACAGAAAAGAACAACAAATTTAAGAACTGTAGTAAATGTTAGCCAAGACTTAGCTAAAACAACAACCAATTAGGGATTCTGATCATTCCACTCTGGATTATAGCTGGAGAAAAAGGCTACATAAAGACCAATAAGAAACAAAAAACACTTCAAATCTTGTTCATTATAGCTGGAGGCACTGAGCATGAGTTACCATTTGAAAAATTCTTGTATTGCTAGGAAATATGTCAAACAAATAACGCGCAAAACATTAATTCATGTGTCACGAATTTCCAAGTTAAGAGAGAAAAAATGATGTTCAATGGAGAGTGACTGGGTTAATAAATACTAAACATTCATACCAGAGCTATAAAGTAGTAATATATGGGGAAACCTTTTTTACTACAGATTTCAGCACAGGTGAAAAGTGCAAATAGAATTTAAAAGACTCTACTGGGTCTCACTATTATAATGTCTAATCCTCTCACTATGTCAACAGGAGTAGGTGACAAGAGAGTAAAGTGTTAGTGATCCTCCTAGCATCCCATGTGTGATACACATCCCACCGGTATGCCGTAGCAACCTGGACAGAATTCAATCACACACAAGCTGCAGCTGTAGCAGAAGAGAGAGAGGGGGTGGGGGTTGGACAATAATCAAAACAACAAACCAAAATAACAAATATAAACACAAAGCTAGAGATAAGCAATACGGTATTTTTCTAGATAGAGACAGTAGAGAGTGGACAACATGGGAAAGTATGAAAGGAAACAAACCAAAAGAAAAAAATAAATAAATAAAAAGAGACAAGGTGTCCATCTTGGAAGGTTCAGCGGGCTATTCTCCTGGTCACATTCCCCCTTGAAGGCTGCGTTGGCCCGATCGGGGATAGTGGCTTGGAAAACAATGCCTGACTCAGGCTAGTGTAGTGTAACAGCTGGGCCAGTCTAGTCATCTGATATGCACACATAATCACACAGAAAAAACATACAAAACCAAATTAATAAACTCAGTAGCCATCCAGCACTAAGTCACGTGGACAAAAAGCATCAAGTTAGAGGTGATATCATTTTTTTTTGACTGTACACAAGGGAACAACAGTGGCACCAAAGGAGAGGGAATTTTAAAGAAAAGGAGCACCAAAAATGAAAGAGAGAGAAAAGGGATTAAGTTAGCTTTGATGCCAAGGACTTATTTTGTCATTTCCATCAAACATTAATGGCAGTTTCTTAAACAAACACAGGCTACTTATTCCTGAGAACCCAGTGTTTACGGTGAGGTAAATAATGTCTTGCATCTTCAAAAAATATTCAACATAGCTCTACTGTTATCAATAGAAACCACCTTGTGACAGCAAACAGAAACCCTGGCTGGGCGCTATGAGAAATAAGATAGCTAGGGTTTTACTGTGGTGATATAACCCGTCACCTGTGTCAAATACGTGGGTAAAATCAGAACTACCCAATGGCACAACTTGCCAGTTTTCCATGCGAATAAAAAAAAAAAAAACAACAACCCAGAATTCAACCAAAACACCAAACGGTTGGATTCAAGGGGAGAAGGCCACAGCAAGTCCACTGACTCATTTCAATATCATTTTTATGTCTTTAAACGAAACGGGTTGCACTCACCTTCGGCACATGGCACTACTATCAAAGCTCTGTCAATAAAAACAGTATTGGTGAGATGTTGCGCCACACCAACACTGGAGGGATCTCTGTACTTTATATAGCACACTTTGGACGAGAAAGACAGAGGAGCATTGCTGTAACAAAAGAAAGACAAACAGAAAAAAAATGCGGGTTAGTTAGATATTTCACCCGTTACGTCTCAATTTGAATGTTAAGCGGACCGCAGCAAGGCCGCAGATCCGCGGTGTTGCCTGGCTAGCCATGCCGCGGCAGGTTGCACTTACTCGGGCGGATAGAGCCGCAGCTCCTCGATGTCTCCCAGGAAACCGAACAGAGTACGCATCTGTTCGCTGCTTACGGCCGAGGACAGGTTGGTGACCTGGACGACAGCAGTCCCTGGTATCCCGCTCATCGTGCAAATTTATAAAATCGCTATATCTAAGTCTTGTATTTAAACAATATTTATTTCTCTGTCACCCCACTCGACGGTAAACTATAAACAGTACATCCAAGCGGGCGGAGCGAGACGTTTCACTAGCTCCTTCTTGTCTCTTAGCATGGGTGAACAAGGAACTCTGAGGTGCACTACCGTCCCCTACAGTGATGGACAGTACATTACTACCCAAGTCGCCACAAGTAGGCTTCCACAGTCTGGAGCAAAATGGCTTTTTAGTGCTGACCCAAACAGAAAGAGGTTAAATATAATAATAAAGTTGGTGCCTTAAACTAAGCCACACCAAGGGAAAAGGCTCCAACTCTTTTCTACCTGTCATTACCCCGAGACAAAGTCTTTTTTTGATCCTCATATATTTACAGTGGTGGAGGCAAGGCACTATATTGTAGCGTTGCGGGGTAGCCAGTCACTATATACCCAGCGTTACTATATATATATATATATATATGTGTGTGTGTGTGTGTGTGTGTGTATGTATGTATGTATGTATGTATGTATAGCAGCACCCAGCTGAAAGCCCTGTCTTGTCTGTTGATAAATTTTAGCAGGTTTAGTAGCCACATTTCCATACTCCCAAATTGAGATACACAGGGATCCTCGGGGGATGATGAAAAATAAAAGCATCACAGAGTAGCTACACAAGGTTTAAAGAAGACAAATTTGCTCAGTTAAAAAAATCGTATAAAATGCTCCTTAGATAGAAAGCAGCAATGAAATGCCATGATGTAGGCTATAAATTGAGGCTTAATTAATGATTCAGTCTTGTCGTGATTAAAGAATATACTGAGTCACATTTAGTGTCTGTGGACATTTCTGTTCATTATTCTGTATTTAAAAATAAAACAACAATAAAATCAAATGATGTTGACATGGTTCATTCTTAGTTTGACCTCTGGGTCAAGATGGTGTGACCTGCAGTGACCTGGCTGTGTGTGTTCATCATTACAGTGATACATCAGGTGTTTCTGAAGCTCATACACATCACTTAATTATGGAAACACCGGCAGTACCCTATATAATCTCTCATTCACTCACGCATACGCACGCACGTGCGTCAGTAAAAGTCATGGAAACAGAACGGTGGCGTTCTACCGAGGTCATATAAAAGCTGCACGCATCTCCGAAATCTCCCCTTTGCACTGAGACTTGATACAAGTTGACCTGCGAGCCTTACAAAACCCTCAAGAAAACACTGAGAGATAACTCCAGCTGTACCTACCTGCTGAAAGATGGCGTCCGGACCCCCTGCGATGGAGCACCTGCTGGCCCGAGTCAGGCGGTGGATCACTTCCTTTGCCGGTAAGACATCTTTTAATGTCCTGTCAAATTTAGCCTTTTTATTAATGTTGCTTAAATCATTGAAAGAGAATTTTAGTACAAAATTTGCATTTAATTATTGTGAATTGTTATTATTACTCTTGTTATTACTATTGTTGTTGTTAGCCTGATATTATTATATCATTGTGGACTAAACTGTAACGGTCAATGTAATATTAGTCGGCATGTTAGGAAAACAATGTTTTTGGTGATTTTTGACATTTTCTCGGTGTAAATATGATTATTATAATCTGGTGAGGGTGCCGCTATTTGAGTACACTCAACATGTGCTGAGTTTGGCGGGACAGGTGTGGAAGGTGTTAATAATTGTGTAGTGATTTGAAAACACTGTTAATATTGTTTGAGGAGATTGAATTGTCCATATTTTGTCGGAGGTAAAGATGGCGACCGGGCCAATTTTTGAACGATGCCAAAAATGAGTTTATCTTGTGCGCCATGGAGACGATGGAACGTTTAGGAGCAAACGTCAACACGTCAGCACGCGCAGGTGTAAGCAAACCAGGGCCCGCTCCTCTGTGTGGATACTTGAGGTTGCTGCTTGAAATGTATCCGGAGATGTTGTTGGGTCCTTTAAAGTGAAAAAATTGATCACATTAGTGAACTTATTTTCACAAATTCCTCAAAATGCGTGCGTCATTGCGCACACAGGTCTGTGCGCTCAAACATTTTGGCGATGTATGACGCAACATGACAAGCTTGTGGCCTGTTCTGACTCCTGTTATACTAGTCTGAGTTTTATTGTGGTTTTAAGAAACAAGATGTGTTTCAGAGGCAAAGCCAGGAACGTGAACAAAGTTATTATGTAGAATTGTGGGTAACACTTTATTTGGACAGTTTGTCTACAGATAGTTTATAGAGTATTTGTAACATTTCAACAGCTTATTAGTTAAAATTCAACAATTCATCTGTTTTGCTTATCTAAAGAATAAATATGACAATTTACTACATACTGTCAGAGTAATTTAGTTGAACTTGAACTATTCAATCAACCCATGCTGCACAGGTTGAGTGAAAACAAAGTTATTCTGACAGTATGTGGGTATGTTCATGAATTGTCACATATACTCTACAGATAATCTGTTAAACATCGACAGACAAAGTGAAACAGCTGAATTGTTGAATCTCATCTAATAAGCTGTTGAACCACCTCCATATCTCTAAGAGTACAGGGTCACATGTAAACTATGAAGGAGTGTCTATACTGATTATATTCCAGTGCTTGTGAATGTTTCAGTCTGTTTTATGAAGTGGAGAGTGTAACGTTTTTTAAATATTTTTTTCTTTCTTCAGTTGGCTCCCTGTGGCCTCTGAGCACCGTGCGCCCTGTTGCTGAGAGCCCCCCCGATGACCCAGTCCCTGTCGGGGTGGATGTCGTGGACAGGCTTCAGGAGGCTGAGCCTCAGGGTGGTAATGTAGAGTGTGAGCAGCACCTCCCACCTTTCCCTGCATACTACCCTGCTCCCTATCCTGTTCCCTATCCTGTTCCCTACCCTGCTTATTATGCTTATCCCTATGCTCCTTACCCCTACCTCTATGCTCCTCCTGCTTTTCCTGGTGCTGCTCCCCATCCTTTTGCTGCTCCCTATGCTTTGCCTCCTGCTTTCCCTCACACTGACCCTCCTGCTGCTCCTCATCCTTTTGCTGCTCCCTATGCTTTTCCCCCTGCTTTCCCTGGTGCTGCTCCCCATCCTTTTGCTGCTCCCTATGCTTTTCCTCCTGCTTTCCCTCACGCTGACCCTCCTGCTGCTCCTCATCCTTTGGCTGCTTCTGCTGATGCTGCTCCTGCTGTCCCTCCTGCTGAGCCTCATCTTAATCGCTATGGTGAACCCATTGATGATGCTGTTGAGGCTATTCTTGCTAGGAACAGGTATGTGGAACCTGAAGAGGACGGGGAGCCTGAGATCGACGTCGTTGGACTTGACGAGGAGGTCGAGGTTCCTGGCATCGGCTCCTCCAGGAAGAGGACCAGAGACGACAGCGCCAGGGAGGAGTCTGATGCGAAGAGGCGGAGGTGAGCTGAAGAGAGCGACTGGATGAGTTGAATATCAGCTGCTGCTCTTCACCACAGACGAAAAAAAAGTGAGTATGAATTTCTGAGTGAGAAAAAAGTGACCTTGGCTAGAATATAATTTAAAGACAGAGAGTAATGTATATTATTGTGTAAACTATAGCTACATACTGTATACCACGACTGTTTGTTCTTATAATATTACTTATTTAATAATTCAAAGATAATTTGTCTTACTGACCATTATTTATTTCCTCTCTTACTCGACCACCTGAGCTGCTGCTGTTCACTGTGGACAAAGAAGGTAAGTGTGAGCTCACTTTTGAACCTTTGTTTCTTTAAAAAAAATATTTTACTAAGATATTTTTGTTTTACTTGCCATTTATGACTTTACTCATATCTTTCTCTACCACCTGAGCTGCTGCTGTTCACTGTGGACTAAAAGGTGAGTTTGAGCTTTTGACTTACAATAAGGTACACAAAATTAGAGTAGTTACTGAGGAACTAATGAGGAACGAATGAGTAGTTACTGAGGAACTAATGAGTAGTTACTGAGGAACTAATGAGGAACTAATGAGGAACGAATGAGTAGTTACTGAGGAACTAATGAGGAACTAATGAGTAGTTACTGAGGAACTACGGTAAACAAAATTAGAGTAGTTACTGAGGAACTAATGAGGAACGAATGAGGAACTAATGAGGAACTAATGAGTAGTTACTGAGGAACTAATGAGGAACGAATGAGGAACTAATGATTAGTTACTGAGAAACTAATGAGGAACTAATGAGTAGTTACTGAGGAACTACGGTACACAAAATTAGAGTAGTTACTGAGGAACTAATGAGGAACGAATGAGGAACTAATGAGTAACTGAGGAACTAATGAGTAGTTACTGAGGAACTAAGGTACACAAAATTAGAGTAGTTACTAAGGAACGAATGAGGAACTAATGAGGAACCTATGAGGAACTAACTATTAGTTAATGGTCAGTTCCTCAGTAACTCATGATCAAATTTCAGAGAAGTAGTTACTGAGGAACTAATGAGGAACTATTGAGTAGTTACTGAGGAACTAAGGTACACAAAATTAGAGTAGTTACTGAGGAACAAATGAGGAACGAATGAGGAACTAACTAATAGTTAATGGTCAGTTCTTCATTAACTCATGATCAAATTTCACAGAGGGGTTAATCACGACTTAATAATTAGTGAACTAGTTACTTCATCAGTGCAGAATCATTAGAATAACCTGTCCATTAGTTAACCTTTTTATGTCCTAAAGTCAAGTGACACATAATGAGTAGTCTTTTGTTACTTCATCATCATCTTTACAA